AATCTGAAGGGAGCAACTTTTGTATAATTTTTGTTTTTTTAGTGTAAGTATCCGAAAAATTTGCAAACCGACAAAGGAAAGGTATTTTACAACGCAAATGTGCAAAAACTTTTGTCAAAATACAACATAAATCATTATTCAACGTATTCAGTGATGAAGCGTCAGTCGTCGAGCGGTTCAATCGTACGCTCAAGAACGACATGTGGAAACTGTTTATGCTTAATGGAAGTTATAAATGGATCGACATTCAAAAGCAACTCATATCAAATTACAACGCGCGTAAACATCGAACTATCGGCATGCGACCAATTGACGTTACACCAACAAACGCCTCGAAGCTCTTAACAACGGTATATAATCACGTAAAGATTGCCGCTCCCGCACGATTCAGAGTGGGAGATGCGGTACGTGTGAGCAAATTTAAAACAATTTTTGAAAAAGGTTACATACCTAATTGGGGTACTGAAATATTTACATTCGCCGAGGTTCAGAAAACTAATCCCGCAACGTATCTGCTGAAAGATGTTTATCGAAAACCAATTGCTAGAGGATTCTACGAACACGAGTTGCAACGCGTTGCCGACGCTGATGTATACCTTGTGGAAAAAGTGTTACGTCGGAAAGCGAATAAGGTGTACGTGAAATGGTTACGATTGAATAGTGCACACAATTCATGGATAAATAAAGATAATGTATTGTAAAAAATTAACATTTTTTTGAATTAAATATTCAGTTTTATACATATACTAGCATTATTAGTTACATTACAGTGTTTTTATTTACAACTAAATATATACATCTATTAAAATCGAGGTTAAAATGATTTACAAAATACATATACTGATATATCTAAAGCGGTATTTTATAATGACCCCGCGGCAATGTATCCGTTGAGTCGGGTACGATATACCGCTTAACGTCGCACGGACTCAGAGCGAATTTTGATTCCGCCATTGTGTATACTTTGTGTAATTTTGATCTTATACATGTCTGATTAAGAATCATTTCAATTTCGTTTCGTAGGCACTGCGTGTAGTCGTCGAAAGTTATCATCCTGGAAACAACGTTACTTTTTACACCTTTCGCGTTTTTCGTATCTTTTTTACCATCTACACGCAATGCATACATTTTCACTCTGAGTCCAACAAATTCTGTCATTATTGCTCCATTGTTTTCGTCTTTCATCAAACCGGGGACTTTTTTATTTACAAGCAGTATATCGTAAACGTTCCCTACCGGATAATCGCTGGTATCAAATCGATTAATATCGCGTTTTATAGTATCATAAATATTCTTGCACTCGATGTGGTAAATTAAACTATCCGTATCGGTGTACATAACTTTACATTTATCGCCATGTGTGGGTAACATGTAATCGTGATGGAATTGATACAAACAAATCTTAGATATATCCAGTATACACATAACCGCATAGATTGGTTTCTGGTAGACTTCTGAACTTCACCGCAAGCTATCGCAGTTCGATGGCAACTAAGTTTTCCGAAAACACGCTACGCGTGTGGAAATTTGGTTTGGAAATAAGGGCTTCCGCTCCGTATCTCCCTTCCCATTTTGTTACTAATTTTACATCGACGTGATTGCGCACATTTTCCATAGTTTTGCCAAATATCGCTTTGTTCATCAATTTATACAAATTCTTTTCAAAATCGTTTGTAGCGAGACTTCTAAACTTTGTATTTAATTCGATGTAATCGCGGAGCCAGGGTGATTATGCGAATTGAAGAACGCGGTGTACCTTTGTAATACGAATACCATGTCGCGTGCATTGCTGCAGGTTACGATAGAGGATAACGTAGCGCTGCTTATCGTATAGAGTTGCGAGCAGCTTGTCCTCTCTTTTGCCAAGTGGTTTCGCACGTGTGGGACAGAACGGCAGGTCCGCGTGAATGTCGTGCAAACGTTGCGGATATTCTAGATCAACCTCTAGAATATAACCCGTAGGCGAATCGGCAGCAATCGAAGACACGTCAAAGTTTGCATCGTTGTCGATCCATTGAAATTCTGCATATGGCAATGGTTGACACATTGCCCACCCATACAGATTATTCACATCAAAGTACATCAAGTACGACGATGCTTTCGATGGATCGTACGACTGCATGTACTTATTATTGGCTTTCGCGTATCTACCTGAACATTGACTTAATCCGCCGCATATACCGCGTTCGATAAACAGGACCATGTCGATATCTGATAGTAATTCGAAATTAACTTTTGTATGCTTCAGCATGGCATCCCACGTAAAACCGGGCAGAATGTAATAATACGCGGGATGAGTCCGTAACTTGTGATACAGCTTTCACGAAAATTTTCAAAAATATCGGCCAACAGCAAGACATCTGTTTTCAAGTACAAATCGCTATACTCGCCCAGTGTTTGAATGGAAAACCGTGTCCACACATTCTCGGCGTGCGCGTACTCGCTCTCCGATACTGTATCACCCGTCAAGGAACTGTAAAATGATTCGCGCGATGGCAAACATGATTGTTCCAACTTTTCGGCACAGTCAATGTACTTGTACGGAGAAACACCCTTTCGCGTCAATAATTCGAAATCTTCGGTAGACAAATTTTGAAATTCGGTACGTAAAATTCTTAATTTGCTTTTATCTAAGAAAGACGCTAATTTATCGAGACTCGTACTCAAGAATTTGTATGAATCGATGAATCTCAATTTTATACAATTTCGCGACAGTCCATTTGGATCTTTGACACTTTTCGTGAACGAGATGTGCTTTTATTTTGTTATCGGCAACACACTGACGGTACCCTCGAAAGCTATAGCTATTTCTTCGATAATAAAATGCGAATCGTAATCGGACAAATTATGAAAAACTATGGGAATTCAAAAAGAGTTTTTATAATTTAGATTACAATTGCAGTGCGCGGGACCTCTGTACCGACCGGTTAGATGGCAATAATCGCGCACCCTCGTATCGTTTTCTCCAAACGGTTTTTCGCAAATGTGACGATGGGTCGCGTTGCGAAATGCCTTCTGCTGTTTGCTCGTTAAATCATCCATTTGTATGTTATTTGATAAAATTGATTTAACAAAATGTGCCAAATTCTTTAATTCTTCGACGAACGAGGAAAAACAATTCGCATCACGACGACATTGGTACACCGACAAGGACGAATCGTACGCGCATTGAACATAATATGCAATACTAAATACTTTATGATGCTGGTATGTGGATCTTGAAAAAGAAAAAATTATTATATACATATCTATCGCAAAAGTATTTTCTGCGTTTATGTTTACTCAATTGTGAGCTCACGAGGCGGGACAAGTTTTTGATCCGCGTGAAATGTCCCACGCCGTTTGCTCTTTCTAAATACAGCAAATTGACATGTCTCTCCATCTTCCGTGTGGCGAGTCGTATCGGTAGAACCTTCTTTTCTTCAGTGGTGTAGATGTTGATGGAGATGCTTTTAGCGTGTTGAAACTTTTTAATTTGGTTCAATGTCATTGGAAATTCGATATCCTGGATATTCAACACCGTTGAATAATAAGGATATGCCGATGTCCGATATACGTGATTTTCGACTGGATGCAGAGCAGCCACCACTAACCACGCGAAACATGCATTGTCGTTCGAGCATACGTTGATTACAGCTCTCTTTAGTTGTATTTCTCGCGGTAATTGTATGGTACATCCAGCATGCAGCGGCATATATTTATTCACGTTAACAATTAAATTGAGTATACGCGACAGCGCCCATCCGCTATCCCGTTCTTGAAATTCTTCCAGCGATGCTAGGGTGGGTTCGACAACGCGTTGCTCGTACCACTCTTCGAGATTGATCTCGCCAAAGATATCACAGTTCTTTGTGCTGATAGTCTCGTTCGAGCGTTTATCACCCGCTACAAACTCTCCATTAAACGCAGTATTCACTTTTAGTGTCTTATATTTCACCAATGCACCCCGTATATGCTTGAGCACAACGTCTCTCGCATTCTGAAAAAAGTTACGCGGTTCGATATAGTGCGAATTCAAAACAGCGCCGGTTAATACGCGGCTATCGAACGCAGTGTCTATTTCACGCCACAAGAGTCCAGTTGTTGAATGGCCGGCACCTTCGTACACGAAACGTCTGCGCAACGAATACTTTAGACTATCGAGACGCGCGATACGAACGATCAACGATTGTTGAACACCGATCGATAATCGAGGGCATTTTGCTCGACTATGTTCTTCCAGCGACTCGAGGCACTCGTTGCATCGTTCTTCCCATGCGAGGTATTCTTCTTGCGGAGTCAATCGATCGGCCTGGTCCCACATTCGACTTTCCATTTCCAAGAGTTCTTCCATGGTTGCACTCACTTCTTCGCTGGGGGTCACTACAGAACGGTTGAATGCAGTTCAATCTGCAGCACAATTTTTATACTCTAGGTCACGTGATTTTGTCACATGATATGCTCCTACTATGATGTCACTGCCTGCTGATTTTTGTAATCCCCCTCATATTCCGTATCGCTGTTTTCGTATGTTTTCCTGAGAACGTCCATATGTCTTTGGGATTGACACCACTGACGTAGCAATGCATTAGAACGACTTCGTCGTGATGAGGGTGTTGCATTAATCGTTATCCTTGGCCAGACTCGATTCCGGTAAAACGAAAGAAAACCCAACTCCAAAGCTCTACTGGTAGACGTTGGTGTCAGAATATTAAAGACTTTTTTGACTCTTATTTCGCCATCTTTGAAATTGTTCCAAAGGCAATAAGGCTTGTACATGCCAATATTTCATCAGGATCCTCATCCTCCTCCTCCTCCTATATCCAGGATCGCTGTGCTGAATCGGTTGATGATACTGACGGTGATTTTGAATAGTCTTCGATTAAGCAACACACTGCCCACTTTATGTTTCTCTGAAAAACGATTCACATCAGGTGATCTATGATTTGCATGTCTTCTTCGGAAAACAGTTTAATATCGCGTTGGAAGATATTGGCGAACGCAATTTCCTGGAGTGATGGTACACGCACAGTCGACATCTTCGTTTTTGACACTTTGGGATTCTATGCTGTGCTACGAATCTCTTCATATTTTATAACGTTGACCCCCACCCAGAATAGAGAGAACGTGAAGCGTCGCTGCTTCATTGTGTCATCCCAAACAGATGATTCCACAGAATTCTACCAGTTACATCCTCAACTGGTATATTTCCTTCGCACGTGCTCTTGTATTTATTTACTTCTAGTTCTCGAGCGTATTATTATTAAGAATTTATATTACGTATAAAAAAATTAGATCGCGCGCGATATGCAAAAGGAGAGTATGCTAAAAATAAATGTGAATCAGAAAGTGAAATATGTGTGGGAGGGGAGATTTACTGTTTCAGCATTTTTTTTGTCCATCTGACAAAGAGTGGGGGGGGGGGGGGTTATATAAAAATGTCTAAACGCATTTTTTCAATCATTGTTCGCAACATCGTTCTATCGCCTCGTATCGAAACATCAGCGATGTGGTTCAATGCTGAAATCGCTCGAGCAACGCAAAAGAATTTTCCGAACAAAGAGTTCAACCAACAACCACAGTAAGTTCTTTGACAACATATTGCAAAATATGCAGTAAAATTCAATATCCTTTATAATTTTTTGTTTCTCTGGTCAGTGATAGCGATAATGTTCATTCGGAACGTAGAGTAACACGCGTGGTGCGTATACTGGGGAGGAGATATCCCCTAACGGATACATTCTACAAGTATCTCGACATCGGGGTTCGAATCGGTGGTTCCTGCGACGTAGAGCTGGCTATAGGAGACTCTCGTGGAAACGAAATTAAATTTTCTATGGATACGTGGAAAGATCTCCTACGAAAGAGGCATAACATTCTGCAGATTTTTGCTGATACATCGGGAACATCGAGCGAGCCGATAAACATTAATGATGTAACAGTTTAATTTCAACAACTAAACGACGTAAAACTCGCAAAACTCTCAACTTCTATCGTCTCTATGTTCATGAGTGAAAAACCCGTACAAAAGTTGTTCGCTTTCGAATATTGTATCGATCACATGTACAGTTGGCTGTCTGAAAACTTGTACCTCGTACAATCTAAGAACAAGTTTATAGAAATAATACAAAATGCTGAAACTAAGGATTATGCAAAGGCAATTGCTGAACATGAAAATTTTGAGCGTCAATCATTGATTGACTCTGAATTGTTAGCATTAGGCTTAGATGTAATGGTGGAATACAGTTATCAATAAAAAAGAAATAGCTTGGATATATGTGTCTTTCTTTCTAGCACATTTCCTCCCATATCATATTCTCATCCGGTGTAATGTTTCCTTCGCATATTCTCCAATATTCTCATTGCCAACGAATGATGTCACCTCTTCCGTTTCTTTAATAT